GGGCATTATGCAGCACAACGAGAACATGACCTTCCGTAAATTATGGAAGACCAATCCAGCAGTACATGTTTTATTATGATACAGTCAGTGATAAATGTTTTTTTTCTGTCTATGCACATTTGATAATATATTTAGTACTAGCTCTAGTATTACCAATTGGAAATAAAATTTAAAAAATGATCAGTTTTCTGTTTTCCCTTCTCACAATTGCACGTTGTTTTAGTTAGATTCAATCACAACAATCAGTATTTTGTTTGTGAGGCTTCTTCAAGCTAATTTATTCACCAACAACTCAAAATAAAAGAATATATATATTGCGACAATCCATCGAACTGTTACGATCTTCTAAGTATATGTTAGTGTTCATCCGTGCTGTTCTACAGAAATTAGAAACTTCGACGGGAGCGATAGCGACAGGAGAATGTTTCTAATTTCTGTAGAACAGCACGGATGAACACTAACATATTTAGTGTCAAGCTTTATTTGGCCCTTGATTACGTCACTACGCGGTACTATGAAGCACTATGAAAAATAGAAGGCGACTATGAACGGATTTCAATATAGTATCGACTTTTTTTCTTCTATGAAAATTAACACACATAATTTTTAAGAAATACAGCGTTCGATGACAAATAAAGTTGGACACTAATGGATATAGGGTCTTTCAAAGAGCAAGAATAGAATACATGACGTTGGCATTTTCTATAAAGAACGAAGGATCTGTATTTCAAAAATCTTATTAACAAATCCATTTATCAACGCAGATGATATACATGTTTCTACATGACAGTGTTTGCTTCTATAACAGACATGTTAATAAATATCCCATGTCTTAAAAGTGTACATGTATAAAGCTATATAATTACATATCTGTTGCAAGAATTTTTATTTGAATTTGAAATAAATACTTCCAACTTACTTGTACGAGAGCGAATGACGCATGTACGAATGTATTGTTAAACGGTTAAAGTTTTATTTAGTGTTTTAAATTATTTTTTGTCCATAAGGATTGCAGTAAATGTATTTCAAATGAATCGTAACACATTTTACTTTGGTAAATCGGCAATCTGTTATTCAGTCTAGTAAATCGACAGTTTTGAAAAATAATTTAAAACACTAAACTGGTTAAATTTTATTAGTACGCGCCTGACCAATTTAATTTTGTAAACTTTAACCTATGCTTATACCTTGATAAAAACTTGTACAGTTGTTTCCCTTTTATAAGTAATCGCCATTTACCTGGATAACGGTCAGTACGTGGATTCTGCAATAACATTGAATTTATAGACAGTACGCGGTATGCACATTTTCACAAAAGGAACAGCAAATTTCAACGCAATTAAAGTGGAAATAACACAGGTATGCGTTTAATTGTTTTATTTATAGAAATTTTAAGACAGATGGAACATGTGCAATTTAGCTGATTTATCAAACAAACACGCTGAAGTTAATCTTGATGAATAGATGCTTGATTTATATATTAAATGTAGCTGTTAAGCCATGGAAACATATGTTATTCTATTGAATTTATCATAATAAATCTACTGTAGACACTGGTTATTCAAACAGGAATCAAAATCTATTTTAAACAAACAAACACAGATACAATCACGTGATACAATGTACAACACTCTCCATAGCCTCTTTCTTACCTCCTAAAATATGCCATTGACACTGCCCTTGATACTTTTGAAATGTGATTATAATAGTATCTAATTTATGCGGCCACTGCTTTAATAGTAATTTTAGCTGGTGAACTTAGTTTGACGCGTAAATGTGACATACTTGTATTGTATATGGATGGTTTATACACATGATGTGCATGAATGAAAAATTTACATTTGATTAAGGTATCTAGGCTATAGTGTATGACCCTGTAGCAATAGGAGAGTCTTTTGTTGAGGAGTAAATTTATTTACAGTATACTTCTTACTGATTAATTTGGATTAATAAGACAATATAAGAAAACACATTTTCTGCATCGGCATCTGTGTGCGACGTACATGTAAATGAGAAAACCACCACGATTTTCACTGCTTTACTAAGAAAAAGGTTAGTTTGTTTTAACGACACTTTTAACACATGATTGATCGTATCTCGGCGGCTGGTCAACTAACCGGCTTTTTCCCCGGATAAATAACCGGTAATTACCAATTTCTCCTCAAGTGACGAACTATTAATATCAGTACACATGATTTCAGAGACTCGATGTCCGAGATTAATAATATCTGTCATATTTTGCGGTTCGGATCGGAATATCCGTCCCGAGGTGACCCGCCCATTGGGCGGTAACGAGGCTTGCCGAGTTACCGCCCATGGGCGGGTGACCGAGGGACGGATATTCCGATCCGAACCGCAAACATATGTCGGATATTTTTTCTTGCATATTCTACCATATTCCATTATATTTTAAATTCTTTATCTTTATTTTCAATGAAAATTTATATCATTACAACCGTAACTACTTTCATTCAACAGCGTATGAATTACAAAATCATTCATAACGGTAAAATGACGTCATCTTTATCGTGCCATTGTACAGCACGCGACTCATCTGGAACCCCCCATGCCAGATGAAATTTCCGGCATGGGTAAAACTAACGGAAACGCCAGTCTGATATGCAAGAATAATTGTCGCGGAGAAAATTCTGCTTGCCTGAAGATTGATCCTGCGACACCGGGATCACAGGTAGTCGGTGCGTGTTTATTTTAATTACATCCATATGTACTATAAATAAAGACAATGTAGAAAGGTTCACCGGCGGAACTATCACGCGGCCTTATTTTAAGTCCCAGATCTATGTTAATTTTCAACCAATTTTCACCAAAATCGAGTGCAATCGACTGAGAAATGATTTCTGTTCCTAAAAATTTACAATATTATACCAGTTTATAAATACATAAAAAGAACGAATTTATAGCAAAAGTGCACTTTTTGTCTAGGTTGAACATCGCTTGATCAGGCCATAAGAAGACGATTTTGGACATAAATCGATCTCTTTCATATGAAAACAGTGCATGCAAACAACTGGAAAAAAATTCTCGACATGTTATGTACAGAAATCATGTCCCGGATATACTTAATGCTTACCCCGTTCCGCATAGGAAAGATAAAGTGACAGCTTTCTAATTTTAGAAACAGAGTATTTGCATTAAAAATACCCGGGTCAGACGAAATGTCGAGAAATTTAAGAAGTTAGTGCAAATAACTGAAAGTGCCTATACCTATCGACGTTTTGGATTAAATTTGGACCGGTAAGCGAAAGTTGATAGCTGCCTTTTCTTTATTTTAACTATGTATAGATGAAATTAAAAGAACCACGCACCGACTGCCTGTGGCCTGGCCTGCAAATAAGATGTTATTTCTATTCAGCTAAGATAATACTAGTTTGTGATGTTCCATTGGCAATGAATTGGTTTAAGAATGAGACTTTTTCTGGATTTTATCAGTTATCCAGCACAAGAAAATATATAGAATTCGCCTTTGTTAACTTACAGTATGGTTTAATTACAGGGAAAGAGAGACACACAACTTTATTAATGTAATAAGCCATCATACTCTGTAATTATGGTTTTCCAGCACTCCTAGACTGAATAAAGAATCAATGCTAGAATATAATTATGTTTTTATTCAACTGAAATTCACCGAAACTTTACTTATCTATGGTTGACTGCAAAAATGTTGTAAGTCCTTCCTTATTTCATATGAGTTACTGCAGTTTTGCGGTCAACTACCGAAATTTTCTCATTAACCTTTTAGGTATTCTCAAAGCTAAATACTCAAAGCTAAGTACTTAAGAACGTAATCGGCAAGGTGTCTGTTCGACTTGTTAGTTAGTTTGGTACAACTGATGACCTCTCATTAGATGAAATGAGACAAAATGTTATATACTAAACTGTAAAGAAGATTTATTGCAATTACATGTATGTTTACAGGTGAATAGAGTACTTACAAGGATTAGTGGCAAATCATATGTAATGCATTCGAAGTTGATCTAACCTACTATGTCTACAGACTCCATTCCACCGTTGAACACGGGATATGTGGATAAATCCAACACAACACCGAAAGAGTACACGAGGCGATGGTTCATGTTATTTTTGTTTGCAGCCCTTTCGTTCAGCAACAATTACCAATGGATTCATTTAAACATCATTGGGAATGTAATAATAAAATATTACAACGAGAGCCTCCCGGAAGACTCTTTCCAACAAGAGACTGCGATAGATTGGTTATCAATGATTTACATGTTAGTTTACATTCCCCTGATATTTCCTGCAACGTGGCTGCTTGACAAGAAAGGCCTCAGAGTGAATATGATCTGCGGAGCATTCCTGAAACGCTTTAGGCGCTTGGATTAAATGCGCATGTGTATCATCTGACAGGTTTCCGGTCCTTATGTTTGCCCAGACGCTTTGTGCAATTGCGCAGATATTTATTCTAGGAATTCCAGCTCGTCTTGCAGCTGTCTGGTTCGGTCCAAACCAAGTCTCAACCGCAACTTCTATAGGAGTCTTTGGCAATCAGGTAAGCAACTATGACCCTTTTTATCTTACTGCTAAAGAAATTACTTGCCACATTTTTCAGTGATCCCAAAATGCCAGGACATAGCAATTTTTTTAGTGAGTGACAAAAAAAATTGCGGAGGAGATGTACAAATTACAGTGGGGAGCATTTGGCGTATATTTAAGGGTCATTGTCGGAACGCACGGTATACATGTACATTCCTTACACTATTTTTATTGATAAATAGCCTGGGTTGCCGACGATGACCAGGGATTTGATTCTTCAAAAATCCCAGAGCTCCGGCTTTTCTCCGTGGCAGGTACGATGGTTCACTCACTACAATGAAATTTTGTCACGGACGTAAGTTTACAGATTATTCTGTGGTAGTGTAAGAAAGATCAAAACATATGTGACTTTTTAAAGGTGATAAACCTTAAATGACAAATACATGGCTTGGAGCAGAATTCAACTAAAAATGATCTTTCTTTTTAAGGTTGGGTGTGCAACAGGGTTTCTTATACCTCCGTTACTTGTTCGTAATAGCGAATCTTTATCTGAGATTGGTAAAGGACTTAGTACCATGTTTTACATGTCAGCTGGTGTTACAACGGCACTTTTGATTATTATACTGATAGGTAAAGTTATCACATTAATATTGTTTTCTATTATAATATTAAAGATATCATTAGGCCTTTTTATTATGCCCCCCTTCGAAGAAGAGAAGTTATATTGTTTTGCTAATGTCGGTCGGTATGTCTGTCTGTTTGTTGGAAGACCACATGGTTTCCGCTGATTATCTTACAAACTATTTATCACAACACCTTCATATTTCACATAGCGATTAGTCATAACTAGTAGATGACCCCTATTGATTTTGGGGTCACTAGGTCAAAGGTCAAGGTCACAGGGACCTTAAATGTCAAAATGGTTTCCGCTGATTATCTTGAAAAGTATTTATCACAAAGTCTTCATATTTCACATAGTGATTGGTCATAACTAGTAGATGACCCCTATTGATTTTGGGGTCAATACGTCAAAGGTCAAGGTCACAGGGGCCTTAAATGTCAAAATGGTTTCCGCTGATTATCTTGAAAAGTGTGTATCACAAAGTCTTCATATTTCACATAGTGATTGGTCATAACTAGTAGATGACCCCTATTGATTTTGGGGTCACTAGGTCAAAGGTCAAGGTCACAGGGGCCTTTAATGTCAAAATGGCTTTCGTTGATTTTTCCATAATTGAACACTTCCATGTACCCATTTTTGGCAAGTTTCTGTAATAAAATTACCAATTATGTGAGTCAATGGCTAGAAAGGGGGGTATATGTGTCGTTCGACATTCTTGTTACAATTGTATTTTAAATGCAATATGCTACAGTATTTACTCTTTTCTATTTGAAAGACTATGTTTTGGGGTAAAACATTTTGAATATCTTCTCGGGCACATTTTCTTTTTTCGAATTGCTTGGCCAAAGAGAACCATGTAGAGCAGCAACAACAACAACAAAACCGATGAATCGCTGCATGCGCCGCCGTGAGAAATACCTGGAGCAGAAAAAAATCCAACCATGCTTTGCCGCATTCATCTGCAAACGACAATTTCCATTCACAAAAGAAGGAATTTCAAAATATTTTTTTGTGTGTAAATGTTATGCTGTTAATGGAATTAACCTTTAATGACCGAGCCGATTTTTCCTGGACGCTTCTTTTATCTAAAACAGCAAAATGTTATTAAAATGTAAATGTATAACTGAAAATGTAAAATCCTATACTTCACACAATCCATTTATAATTTTTAATGTAAGCAGGTCGGACTGACTGGTAGTCTTGTTCCCGTCGTACTATGAAATTTAGAGAAAATGGCAGGTAATCCAGACTAGCTCACTGGTTGCTTATTTTAACTGGGTCTTTTGTATTTCAGTGTTTAAAGCGAAACCCCCGACTCCCCCTAGTCATGCACAGATGCTCATAGAGCAAGGAAATAACCAGGAAAACTATTTTACCTCACTCAGGAATCTGTTTCATAACTCGAATTTTATTTTGTTGTTCCTAACGTATGGTAAGCTATTTTTAAATCATTGCTTTACAAATCTAAGGGATAATTTAAAATATATTTACCATTAAAGGCTATTACTAAAGAACAAGTTTGTTTTGAATTTTTAAAATCAGAGTTATGCTAGTATTGTATGTAATTATGCAATTCAGATTTTCATTTTCCTTTCTTTACTTCAAGAATGAAAAAAACAACATATAATAAGCCTTTAAGTTATTTTTATTTACATGACTGCAGGTATAAATACCGGAAGTTACTACGGCATCGGTACGCTTCTCAACCCCGTCATACTCCACTATTTCCCGGTAAGTGCAATTTTCCATTGTTTTAGCGTTCCGGCAGAATAATTTAGGGGTATGTCATTTATAAAATTGAGATCATTTGAACATTGTGCAGCGTTTTGACGGAATAATGTAGGGGTCTGTCACCTATAAAATCGATATCAGAACAAGTTTTATGAATGTCAGACATAATCCCCTTCGGACAAAATCCCCTTCGCATACCCGGACAAAATCCCCTTCATGGGTGGACATAATCCCCTTCATGTTTTTGCAAGGCTGGACAAAATCCCCTTCACTACCCGGACAAAATCCCCTTGTTTCATAGGTTTCTAATGTATTATTATGCTCCATAAAAATTGATGAATAATGAACTTGTGTTTTTTTCTTTATAATTATTTATAAAGTTAACCTTTATTTAGATTGAAGTTTTCATTGAAATTATTATTTATTTAAAACAATTCTTATAATTTCAAAAATTACAGTTAAAATTGTTTGCAACTAATCATATTTGTAGCGTTATTATATTAAATTTGTATTATTAATAAAAGAATGACATACATAACATAACTCAACATTTACCAATAATTGTTTCATTGATTGTATAAGTTGATAATTCTCATTGTTATAAACTATCCATTGTTACAATTTCTATTGATGAAAGAGTGATAATTTAATCAAACCAAGATCACTGCACTACTTGATTGATTGTTATGAATGCTTTAACAAAGCAATTTTAATGTGATTAAAATGTGCTAATTGAATGTGCTATTCTGCTGATCTGTATTATTTTCATGCTTTGAAAAATAATTGATATATTTTTTGCTTATTTAGCATTAAGAAATTAACGATGTGCTAAATGAATGTACTCTCATGCTGATCTGTATTTATTTGTTTATGTTATAATTGTTTATGCCATAATTGCTTTGAAAAATGAATGTAAATATTAAATTTAAATATTTTCTGCTTATTTATACATTAAGATATTTACTACACAGCATAATGCAGTATGTCGCTCTTATACCCATGTAACAAATCGATAATTCATCCGAGGGGGATTTTGTCCTAGGTAGCAATTTTATGAAGGGGATTTTGTCCACTTCAAAATTTCACACATGAAGGGGATTATGTCCACCCATGGAGGGGATTATGTCCAGATATACAAAAATACATGAAGGGGATTTTGTCCGAAGGGGATTATGTCCGTACACCAAGTTTTATATATACCTGCTTAATTAAATGAATATGATGCAGCAACGAACGAGTATGATATACTTAAGATGCTTACTAGGTTATGATGCTGCTTTATGACAAGAGTTATTGTTCCTGTTTTTTTTACACCATCATGACAATGCCATTTTGTTTGTTTTTAATTCATTAAAGGAATAAGAATGGGTGGATTGATGTCTGTCTAATATAAATATTCATCATTTAAAAGGAGGAACCATGACAGTTTCCCTGTTGACATCAACCCTATAAGAAAGAAATTCGTGTTTAAAGACACTATTTTTTACTTGAGAAATAAGTTCATGGGCGCCGCCATTTTGGCGTTCTGTCATTCTCGCGAGACAGACGAGACCGAGATTGTGACGTGTTATACCCACTTCCGGTATAGTTGTACACGCTGGTACAACTGAAATATATCTTGATGAAGAACTTATTAATTTAATTGCGTACATTATATATTATTTATGAAAACATCATATGGAACTGAATTGCTATAATTAATTAATTGAAGACGCCGCGACATAAATTATCATTTGCCCGATACTCAAGCTTGCTGATGATCCCACCACATGATTTAAGCAATGATTGCTTAATTTTCAAAGATACATCATAAATTTACTTTGGGTACTATGAGCAACTTCTTCAAATTGACGATATATCCTTTTATTTTGTACTTAATTTTCGCTAGACAAGCTGTCCAAATAGGGTACATCGCCGGTCATATATCTTTTTTTCAGGTAAAATATCAACTAAATCCAATATGCTGGGACGCGATTTTCCGCCATTGACGCTAAAAATGAGAAAGGCGCAGGAAAATCGGCAGCCAGACTCATATCGTATGAAAACAAAACTGTCCGTAAAGTTATTTAGGCACCCAGTCAAAACTGGTACCAACAGCAACAGGTTGCCCATTCCCCTATAATTACGCATATTCTCGGGTTTATCCAGTTCCCCAAAGCTTTTTTCCACGTTATCTACTTACCAAATTCCTTTCCCCGACAGATACGCATTTCTTCTACCGTAAATTTAATCCAATAAAACAAAAAATCAAAAATCTACTTAAGATTTAAAATGATTATTGGGAACTGAAAAAAATGTGTTGCTATTTTATGACGTGCTGTAATTTACTACAGCTTGACAGGTGTGGAACCGAATTCCCCCTAAGGTCATTCATTTCACTGATGAAGCGTAAAAAATAGATGTCTATTTCGTCATTAGAATATTTGACAAGGGTGATTAACCAATTAGGGCAACATTGTGCATGATCAAAAGGTCTGTCGGCACAGAGGCATACAAGGAGCAATAAAAATCGTCAGTACACAGTGTGACAGGAGCATTTGGTGCAAATTAGGAACAATTAAAATGGACAATGCGCAGTATTAGACATAAGTAGAAAGAACCAGCAATTGTGTGAATAAATTATGCAAATTAGATTTTTGAGCAGCCAATAAAAATGATTTGCTTAAGTTAATATTAGGCTACGATTACGATGCGCAGCATCATACGTTGACAGACATGTTAACAATTTACTTTTCAAAACAGCTGCTGATATTTTTGAAATGTGTACATCAATTATAACCTATGTTCACACCTTTAAATTTGAAAGTCAGAATCAAACTGCAAAAAATTAATTATATGTACTATTAAGAACACGTTTTAGTAGGGTTTTTATAATGGAAGTGGCTAGTGTACGGGCCCGTACGGCTAGCCAAAAGTTTTAGCCGTACGTGAGTCACGTACGATTAGCAAGGACACGCTGTATTGGCTAGCCGTACGGCACTTTTCAAAATTTTATGGAATTCGAAAATGCATATGTTATTTAATGACTTTAAGCGAGGATTTTAACCAAGAAACAGCATTAATTGTCTTTGGGTGTTAACTTTTTAGAGATTAATCGACTTGATCGCTATATATATCGATCTTTGTCATCGCAAGATGTCGAGAAAAAATAGCCTTTTTGATAATAATCCTTTTTTGTTTCATTAAGTTTAATTTTCGACACCTTTTATATGAAAAAAAAAAACAACAACAACAAACACTGAAAATGATTGTTGTTAGGCTCTTGATAATTGCGACAATTACCGACGGTACTGTATCAAGAAAAGTTTGCATGTTCCGTGAAAGGCATTCTAAAATTCTATTGTCAGTCCATGGATAGGTTTTAATTAAGGCTAATTAATTGATTGACTGTGCTTTTATGTTCGATATTTATCTACTGTTTTGAAAATTATATAATTATTTTTGCATTTCACCGTTTTTTCCATTCAATGTTCTTTTTATTTATTTATTCCACTCCGATCATTTTTTATTCGATCCATGTGCTTAAAATAAACAAAAATGATTTAATAATTCATACAAATTAAACAACAAATGATAAGCATGAAAATCAACAATTTTATAACGTTCGACTTCCATATAATTTTGAAAATTGCCGTACGGCTAGACAATACAGTGCGTCCTGGCTAGTCGTTCGTGACTCACGTACGGCTAGAACTTTTGGCTAGCCATACGTTTCTTTATTTTTTATTATTATTATTTTTTTTTTTTTGTTGATATTGTTACGTATTTTGAACCATAAAAAAATCTCCTCTACACCTCCTGTGAAAATTAAATTGTCTGATCAATACTTTATTATATTAATATTTCCTTACGATTCAACTAGATTTATCATGAATCTAAAAGATGTGGGGAAATGACATCACGCGCACCTGTTTTTATACGGCCAATACACAAACATGGCCGCGCTTACCGATTTGTAGAAATCGGTGATTTAGCGATTTAAATTTTGTTATCATTCGTTTAATATTATTATTTGGCGACAGAAAATTTGCAGACTTATTATTTATAGTATTCTTTTTCTGAAATCAAGTTTTTATTTTAACCTTGTCTTTCCCTTTAAGAAATCGTTTTGTGAAATACTTGATATATGATTATTTTTTATATTTATTCACTGTGTACATTGTATGAATATGCACCAGAAACCGTACTAATCCGGGAGATAGCAGTGCAAATAAATCCAGTTTAGACTATACCTTCCGTTTGTTGGAGCTCTGCCGATTCAATGCAAACGATGCTTTTGTTTTTGGCGCCAAAATAGTAGGGGATATGTCTATTGCGGTGGGTGTTTCGGGGGGGGGGGGGGCGTCTAGCGGGGAATTTACCATTTCACACTGTTCCTGAAGGAAGGGGCTTTTGCCGGCGGTGTCATGGAGGGGTCGGCTTGAGTTATAATTGACTTGTACGTTGTATGTTTCAGGGGCATGAAGAGAACGCTGGTCAGATAGGGCTAGATCTTGTACTAGCTGGTATCGTCGGTGCTATTGTTGCTGGAATTTGGTTGGACAAAACTAAATCATTCAAGTAAGTGTTTCATGTTGTCGTCGGGTTTCATATGCCTAAGTCATGGACGTAAAAAGAAAAATGATATTTTAGGATGATCGATTACTGCAGTTAGACTTGAACATTACGTTTTTATCCAAACAGCAATTTAATTAATGCTTATTAATAAGTTAGTTATTATTGTTCCTCGTTCAGTAATTTGCAAAAGTTACGCATTTTTACTTTTGAATATTTCGAGTGAATGAAACAAGGAATTTTTGAGCGCACAAGCTTTTCATAATCGAAAGTTGTTTTTAATAAGAAATAGAATAGATTACACTAAGAAAAAATTAATGGAATGTTTTTCTTAAGGTAATGACTTTTTCTGATTTCAGACCAACTACTGTAGGGATTTATTTCTTATCAATGATATGTATGATTGTATTCACGTTTACAATGGATGTAGATCTGATCTGGGTTGTGTTTATCACTGCGGGGGCTTTAGGGTAAGTAACATCAACCTATCTGTGAGTGTTGGCCACAATATTGTGGCAAGTTTTGCGTGATGGCCACGACAATGGGGACAGGTTAATGAGTGATGGCCATGATAATTGGGCAAGTTTATGAGTGATGGCCACAATAATGGGGTCATGTTATGAGTGATGGCCTCGATAATGGGGACAAATTTATGCCACCGTTATAAAGTCAGACCACCAATATACAGTTCATGCAGTCCTGTTGGCATATTATGCTGCCTGATGAATTTTAGTATTTTATTTTAAAATACCTTATTTATCATATATTACGATAAACAGGTCGTAATTTGAAGCATTCAAAATCCTTTTCTCAATTTCAAATTCAGTTAGGATTTGTAATCGACATAAAAAAGAATATAAAAGGGAAGAAAAAAATCCACCGCTAGGATTTTGTTCATTTCTCTGTAGGGATAGCATACATCAATCATTTTGTTGTCAAAATATTTTTCACTAAGATGACACTTATTATCCTCCGTACTCAAAGTCACAGCGCGTTCCTGTCGAACATGGGCGCATTTTTACGATGTTTCCAATTACATCGTCTGTATATGTGTAAACGCTTCTGCAGAACAAGATTTCTTTTGAAAATTATCGGTTTCAAATTGAGGAAAATAGTGTATGTAGCCGAAACAATCGATCTTAAGTTGCTGATTGTCTAAATTGTCGTCTGCTTATTAAATTAGTTGGTTGTGAGTGATTTCCCTTGAATCATTCATTGTATATATGAAAGTATACTTCATATAAGCTAATTAGGTATCAATTAAAAAAAGAATATTTGATTTCAATAGTTTAACATCAGTTAATGGGTTATTTGTCGGCGTACAGATACCTAATGAGCGCTCATTGACACATCCAATTATCTCTTTGTTTGTACTAGTATAAAAACGGAATTCAATGAAAATCATCTTGGTTAAATCTGTTAAGGGATAGAAATTAATTCAAACTAGTTGCCAACGTGTCTGACAACCAAGGTAATTGTACGGGGATTTGATTCTATCGATATTTATACAGAAAACTTAGTACAGTCTTGTTTAAGTTACAGACCACCTTCAAATATAGACCACCCTGTAAATCAAGACCACTGTTTCACAAACCTTTATTGATAAAAATACAACAGAGAAATTTCTTAATAAAGACCACTTATTTATAAAGGCCATGTATGGTCTATCCTTTGGACGGGTTTGACTGTAAGATTTGTAGAATCTGGTGAGTCATATAGGACCATAATTTGAAATATACTTTGTTGCATCATTTGAGTCAAACTTATCAGCTTTTTGTTGTCATTATTCTTATATAGCCTATAATAACTGGTATTGTTTCTTTTCTAGATTTTTTATGACAGGGTACCTGCCGGTTGGGTTCGAATTTGCGGCTGAAATCACGTATCCGGAATCTGAGGGTACATCTTCTGGTCTTTTAAATGCGTCTGCCCAGGTGATGATTTTATCAAAGTTTTAGATATCAGTTTTAGACATTTAGCATAGAGCAATATTCATTAAGGGCCATACCTTTGAAGTATATTGTACCTTAGCCTAAAATCTTAAATTATTGGCGTCCGCGCCGAAGCGCGGCGCTCTTATGGAATGAGATCAGATTTTGTGAAAGGGCGACAGCAACTTCTCGAGCCTTTTAGTCGGTCATAATAAAAGCCGAAAATTCCGATCGGTATGAGGGTGCTTGATTATTAAATAAGAATGAAATGTCGCGATATGTTACAATGAATTTTCGCAATGCAAACATTTACAAATGAAATAACCTTTTCCGTCAATAAATCGCGCTCTTCGGGGTTTTTTATTTATCATTTTGTAGTACACAGTCGGTTATCATGTCATGGTATGTTATTGTTGTATATGTATCCTAGAATGATCAGTTGATGACCTAAATATTCCAAAAACCTATTTATAGATATATCTTTTTATCACTCCTATCGGTAAATGCCGGTCTCTCCCGGTCTATTTTGACCAGGATTTACTAGTGACCGGCGAATAGTACCACACGTTTATTGTCCGGTCTCTCCCGATTTTGGAGTAGATGTTTGATAGCGTTACAATTGGAAAAAAACAACAATAGCATGTTTCATTTTATCTATATGAGATAAAAACAATAAATATGTACACGGATTTATATGTAATATAAATCCGTGATATGTACAATAATTGAGAAAAAGGTACATTTTTTATGGTATTAAAATGACATTATCAACTTTGAAACATTTTATTTAATTATTCAATTTGTTATCCGTGTTTAGTAAAGATGCCGAGGAATTATTCAAAGTTACAAATTAGATTTTATGAATTATTCAATTGATCGATAATTTAAAAAATGATAAAGAAAAATACAATGTACATGTACATGGTTTAAGAATAAACAATATTATATATTGAAAGATAAACCATAATTTACTGACTTTTTCCAGTTAAGCTTTTACTTTATAATCGTCGGTCAATATGACAATTGAATTCTTAAAATTTATTTTACAATTTTAATAAAAAAGAGTAGTAAAAACTCAGTATTAAAATAGCACATAAAACACAAAAAAGAATAAAAGAAAACAATATTCATAAAATTTGTATTTTTTTTTAAATTAAAATTAATAGATATTACAATTATTGTATAATAAACAATTATGCTCAACATGATCAACATGGTAATATAACCAGTGTCATATTTTTACTAACTTAAAGTGTGAACAGATACCTTAAGGGGGTCTTCGCTAATAGCGATAACATGTACATAATAAGGGACAAATGTGTGGTACGTGTTGATCATGCGTTACACATATGGATTATAAATGATTGCATACATGTATATCCGTTGCTATTAATAACCACGATCATAAAGAAATAACAAGTAATATTCTAATCTCTAGCATGCCAATCAAAGTTCATAATGAACAATGTCTTTCGTCCGCTCATTCATAAGTGGTATACATTTCTGGTAGTTTATAAGAATATCTTGTCATCATATGTGTACTAGTTCATCTTCACTTGCTGCATTTCTTGCTTGGACGCCCTTTGATGCTTTGCATCAATGCTTTTCTTGTATTTAATGAAATAGAATTTTAATGATACGTTGTACACGTGAGGTAGTTATCTACTAAAAAAGTATATCATGAGTTATTTGTGAAGACCATCTCAAGCTATTGATTTTATAAAATGTAAACCCAGACATGGAAGCACATTACAAGAATAAATAACATTGTCTCCCAGTTTCCCAGGAATTTGCAGACATCCAATAATTTACATACATTTTATATTCATTTATAAATTTTGTGAAATTGCCATAAAAAGTCTCACAAAAGTGAAATTTATACTATTTCTTGCAGAATTATGAGTCATTCTGAATAATTTTACGACACTATATAGTTAATGGGCGCTTGCAATGAATAAAAGATTTGTTCCATGTATTGCAGACGTTTGGTATTATTGTCACCATTGGGATGCGCGCATTGATGAACCAAGTGAGCGTTTTGTCAGCAAATATTACCGTATCAGGGATTCTTCTAGTTGGAACAATAATGACAGGTTAGATATGTATAATTATACTACATGTCAATAAAACATCTACGGACTTGTAGGATGTGACACTCTTGTGAAGAAAAAATTGCATATGCATTGTTTAAACCATGTATATCCATTTGTTTTAGTTTTAACTTTTATCAAATGAGAAATTATTATGTCTGCCAACTTGTGTGCGAAAGGGTTGATCGGTCAACCGCTTTATGTGCCATAAGCTTGTTTAAGAAGGTAATAAGGAGTTATTTGATGATGTCATGAATGATGATCGGTGTTATGATAATGCATTTCTACATTTCCTTTTTTTTCGTCTTATTCTGTCAAGACAATTGATAAATATACAAAATCGTTATTTGTACTGTGCAGCATTGTAGTATGTTAATCCGTATTTATGTGCTGCTTTTCATATGTGTGACACTTTACGGCTGTCATTTATTGCATTTTTTCAGCATTCATAAAAGCCGATTATAGACGTCAGGAAGCCGGTAAAAGTGTACGTTGTTCTTTTTTCCTACGTAAATCATATTATTATATATTTTCCAATAATGTTAAAATATAATGGCCATTTACGTTAAAGGCCCATCATGCCCAAGAAATGCTTTAATTTTTATTTCTTAACTTTTTATTTTTGATGTACTTTTATAGTTTCCGAAATGTTACACATCGGCCAATATTATAACCAGAACCATCTTTTTCTTCTGTTGCTTTTTTGGCCATAAGAAAAGTCATAGTGATAATGTACATGTATTTTGTTTTGAAGTCAAAATATTACTTTGTTTACATTTTGCTGTTTTTATGACAAATTATTTCACATTTGGCGCTACTTCCTTCAGGTAACAAACATCTAACATGCTTTAAAACCATTATTCAAACGTTATAAATTCAGTGCAGAAGAAAAAGTAATGTGACTTTAAAGCTGCAAGCCTCCAGATGAGTCAAAATATTTCAAGAAAATCAATATTGAGAAAAATGCACTAAACTTTTAAGAAAGTAAAAAACATTCAAGATGCAAGTTATATTTGACATGTTATGTGCGGTCAACACCGATTTTGCAGTATTTTATCACCATATTTCTACTGTGTTACTAAGGCAGTAAGGGCTGTTTTTGCATATGTTGACAACTTTTTGGTAAATTTCGTGAATTGTAAGTGCCAATTGCAATATGTAAATCACTTTCTTTGTTTACCTCACATTATTTTACTTTTAAATATATTTCCAAAATTTTCATGAAACTTAACATGAATCTGGAGGCGTGCTGCTTTAAGACGCAAATCGCGAAGATGTATCTCCATGGTCTCGTATGACTTAAAGGCACATTATGTCTCAGAAATCCATATACATGTATTTTTAATTCTTACTTTTCAATGTCAAACATGTGTTTAATAATGTTTAAATAATGGAAGAAGTGCATGGTACGCTGAACATGAAGTTATGTGTTCAAAATGTAAACAAAGTAGTATTTTGACTTCCATACACAATACTTTTTCACTATAATTATAACAATTGTCAACAGAACTAAAGATGCAAAATATAGTTCATGTATATAGTAAATATATAGTTCATGTATATAGTAAATGAAAATGTTTTGGAAACCATAACAAGATACCAAATTCCCCGACGGTGCAGGCTTCTTTCGTTGTGATAGATCATGCAATCTTTTTCACGGTCATTGGCACTGTACCTCTACTCTGGCATGTACAGAAATTGTCAGTTCCTTGCGAAAGTAAAGTCAACTAGTACTGGTATAACTGCTTGACAATATACCCAGGAACGAGGCAGTGACTGTACTGTGCTCTTGTAAATTCATTGTGGCTTACTGCGTGATCCGCTGAAAACTACCAATACCACACCACAAATTACTGACATTTGTCGATGCATTTATTTGGATCAGATCGACTATATATATTCTTGCCTCGTACCACATTCAACGAGCTACAATCCCTACAAAACCTGTAAGGAATCGAGCATTCTCTACTTGTATCGGGAAACAATTACTCCGTATTCCAGATACTCTTTATTCCGGAGACCGGAAGTGTATTCCGGAGACCGTAAGAAAAATATAACACTAATCTCATATTACTGATATTTCAGGCTGTGGAATATGTGGACCATGACAATATAAATGTGAACATTACTGATGAAAATACAGGATTGAAGATGGCAAACATGAATAAATGATGAACCAGTTGTGTTATTTTCAGTCAACTTTACTGGATCTATTTCCATAATCTTCTGTTAGCATGTTTCGGTTACTTTTATCATTTGTGTTATACCTCGTTACCTCGCTTTAGTTACTTTTCTTTCTTTTTTAATTTTTCAAATTAAAGTCAGGCTTTGTTACCTTTACTTTTTTCATTATAAGCTGTTTCCCGGCTTTAGTTATTTTTAATATTTCTATACATTATCAGATCTTAGTTTGTTTAATGACATTAGCTTTTACCATCGTATGCAGTTTTAGTGCGCTTTGGTTACTTTTATATCTTTCTGTATCAGATGTAAGTCTAATTTAGTTACTTAAATTAATTCCTTAAAAGTGTGCTTTAGTTACTTTTACTGTTTTTGTGATCTGATATATCCGTGCTTTAGTTACTGTTGCGCTTTAGTTACTGTTGTCGTTGTTTGTCTGATTTACTTACTTTTTATTAATTTCGTTATTAGATGTTATAGTCTGTTAGTTACGTTAAGAGTTTTCATGATCTGATATTTCTCCTCTTTAGTTACTAGACTCTAGTAAATTTGTTGAAACCACTCTTAGTTTAATTTTACTGTTCTAGTGATCTGATAATTCCCCGCTTTAGTTACTTTAATTATTTTCGTGACAGCCTGAATTAGTTACTTTTGTCAAGTTACCAAGTTAGTTGCAGTTTAAGTTTTTGATTTTTGTTTGGGTTTTACGTCCCACCAACACGGAAGAGGTCATACTTATGGCGACTTCCCGGGTTTACTGTTTGGATAAAACCTCAGGTGCCCCTCCGTGCACTATTTCACACTTGAATCGACACAGGAGTTGAACCACCGACGTTCCGTAAGCTAGCTGGCTAGATTCTTCACATGAAAGGATCTGACTTCTCTTGTGGGATTCGAACCCACAGCGGTGAGGAGCAAGTGTTAGAAGTCATCGACCTTAACCACTCGGCAACGGATGTCCCATTAAGTTTTTGATTATACCTAAGGAAGTTATATGATCTAGAAATAAACAAGCATGCTTTATCATACGTTCATTGTTTGTTTTATTTTGTGGCACACATAGATATAGTAATTTTTCTTACCACACATTGGAATTTGGGCAGTATCTGCAGTGTCCGTGCGTCTATATTTTAAACACCGGTATAGATGTATTGGAGGGTTGGTTAGAAAGTTCATAAAAAAGTGCAGGTATCTTTTGTTTAAATGATTTGAATTAGTATTTTAATTCATTTGCTATATTTGAGATTTGTCCAGGACCTCTTGATTTTTTTCTCAAAATTTATCGATACAAACAAAAGTTGGTGGATATACACGTAACAGCTGAAACCTTGCACAGATGTCATTTGTCATTACCTTTCATATTGTCAGATTTGGCTGAATACTTCAAAGTTATCATATTAAAAAGAACAACAACATAATGTATAAAGATATAATCTTGGGAAAGGCAAAGGATGCATACATAAATTTATAAGTAAAATGCTATAAAATCGTCAAAATATAGGTAAAATACTTTGAAATATAATCTAACATAAAAAGAATAATTGGGGACTCCCAACATGTCTTTAAACTTTTGTTTACTTTTTTTTTTAAAACCCGGTTCAAAATGTAAAAAAATTAACTTTCGCTTGCATTTATCGGGGTGTTCGAAAAATGCATTTTGTTGGGGAAATGTTGTTTGAGGGAATAAATTAGAACCCTTTGGCGTCGAGTTTTCTTGCATCTGGCAGATAGCACACAGTGCACAGAAGGGACTTTCGTCATAAAAATGGGTTTGAAAATTGTTTTCCCTAAAAAATTTTAATTTATTTTTTTTTTTTCTTAAAAAATTGAACAAAAAAAATATTAAGGACTATTTAATTTCGGGGTTAAAATTTACAAAGGGTTAATTCTTTTACGTTGAGGAAGTTTTTTGCACCGTGCTCCCCCTTGGGTTTGAAAAAAACTGAAAAATAAACTTTAAATATTTGCCCCAATTTGGGCCCCAAACCCCCTGGAGACAAAAAAAATTTTAAGTGTTTTTGTTATACGTAACCGTTAAAATCATAAAAAAACCATATTAATCATATAGGGAATTTTTCCTTTCCAAAATTTAGTAATGGTTATTCCCTTTGGAGATCCCAAACCAAAGGGTTTTCCCGGGAAAAATTCGGGTCCTCAGGGAAACCCAAAAGGCCCACCTGGTACAAAACCCATGGCATGCGGGTTTACTTTTCCCCAAACCCAGGGTTTTGAAATTTTTCCCAGTTTAGTACATGGTAGGCAACAGTTAGGGGTCATAGTACTAAAATAAAAAAAAACAAACAAAAAGTTCCTGCCTTTTCTGAAAAAGTGTTTTTCTTAAAAGGGAAAAACCCCGGGGTCGTGTCGTCTCCCTTCAATTTTGGGAAAAACTTAGGGAAATGCAAAATGAATCTAAAAATATTTTCATTTTATTTTAATAATTTTATCATCCAGTATTGGAGGGAACTGTATTCAGAAAGGAAAAAATTATGTTAAGAAGTTATATTATGTTTACATAAGAAGATTTGAACTTTAGTCAGATTGAGTTGCTCGCATTTATAAATTGATGTAAATCCAAGAGACCGAGACAATCTGTGTGCAACAATATGTATTAGAAATATACAGATACACTGTACATAAAATTTGAAACTTATAAAAGTATAATTGTCACTTTTTTATAATTTGTTATATTTTTTACATCTGAAATCATTCCAATCAGTTTCAAATATTTACGGTCTCTGGAATATATGAAAATAAGTGAAGTATGTGTACAGAAAAACAGAGTCGTGTGTGTGTGGTTGCCAAATCTTTTATACCAAAGAAAATTTTAATGTTGCAAAGACATCCCAGAGAGAGGGGACAAATCAATTGAGTATCAATATGCTGATAAAGAAAAAGTAAAAATCGGTTTGTGTCCGGAGTAGGCATTAAGGCGTCTTTTTTAACATACGTATATCTACGATATGACTCGGCGACCGTGTTGTTAGCAATGAAAGAAATTCCTCAGTCAGTAAGTGATTGTGAAATCAAGATTGATTAAGGATGGCGATATTTTGAACAGCATTATTCTTGACTTGCATTATTTTTGACAGGGTCATAAGTGCATGAATGAAAAAAATTCAGCCGTGACATGATATTTCCAACATAGTGGTCAAATTTGACATTTTACTTTTTTCAAAGATTCTCGAAATGCAATCTTTTCTAAATCATTCAAGACTAATTTTATTATCTTTAGACAAAGAAAACTTGAATTATAACGCTTTTTAACATTATAAGTGACGTCGTTTTATTTGACGGATTAAAAATATGAATCCAAAAAGAACAACCACACGCGTACATTCAGTTATTTTTTTTAATATTCAAATCGATTTCGAACAAATATGTTCTTCGTCAGTGAATAAACAGGATTAAAAAGGCCAACGTGAAATAAACTGAATCATCGTTTTGCTTGACATATAACTTCTATATACATGTATCTTAGCATGTAAATTATTAACGTTACTAACGACGAAGCTCGCATTTTTATTTTTAAAGAGTACCGCTGTCAATTTGTAGCTAGGCCATCTTATGTACATGTAACGACTTTGTTTCACGAATAGACAGTATACAAGTAAAAATGGAAAGCTTTGACTGTCTTATTATTATAAAATATGCCCAACTAGCAATATATTGAGTCAATCTTTCCGTATTTAATATATTATGTGGTTCCATCTTTATATGTAGTCAACTGAACAATATTTGATGTCAATGTGTCTTTATATGATGTCAATATATCATTATACGATGTGCATTTTTGAATATAGTATGTTGAACCATCCTTATATAAGGTAAAAATACTCAGGTAATAAATGAGCACAGAAATACCAACATTTATGTTTCAAAAAAATGCAGGAATAAATAAAAAATGAGATATCATTTTTTGAATACATTCAAGAATCATCTTATTTCCAAGACATGTTATAAACATACAATTTAAATAATGCGTAACTGTGACATCATATCCTCAAAGCAGCATGCTCAAGATTTTTGCTCTAATTTTCATGAAAAATTTAGATATATAAAAATAGCCCTTGCTGTGTTAGTAACGGAGTAGAAATATGGTGAAAAAAATCTGAATGCTCAGTCAAGCTTCGGTAATATTCGTCTTCTTTACGAGAAATTGTTCTGGAATAATGGTCGATACAAGGTCATCTGATAGGTTCTAGGACGGCGTTATTACCGTAAATAGTCATAAACTTCTTACTCAAAAATGTGCGTACATGTAAATACAATGTAGAGGATATTTAGTTGTTCTGTAAAAATGCTATGCTATATCACACAAGGAAGTAAGATAATTATTTTTCACTAGTGCGTATGGACAAGTTGATGGTTTGTCACGTCGATGTGTGATTATATAAATGTATATGTATACATGTTAACCATTTTGAAAAAAATAAGAAACAAAAAGAAAAAAAGCAATCAACAATATAATACATTAGGGGCTGTTTTACGTAGATTATAAGTGTCGTTTGCAATGTGTAAACTGCTTCCTTTGTTCACTATACAATATTGTACTTTTAAATACATTTTCCGAATTGTTATGAAAATAAACATGGATCTTGAGGTATGCTGCTTTAACGATATCAAAACATTATGTTTAATAATGAAATTTTAAAGAATATAATGATTTCAATATCTCAATACTATGTTTTTCGGGGTCATTCAGCACATAGCTGCAATTTTACTGAAAATTTTCGGATTTAGTCAGAATCACTCAATTTTCATTCAGTTTTTACCTGATTATCATCCATTTCCCACTTCTTTCAACAACTCACGATGCCATATTCTCAGAGACCAAAACAGCTATTGCAATAATTATTATGAAACAAGACAAAATTATTTCGGTTTATTTTCTTCTCATTTAATTTTATATAAAGCAGAAATGTATTTCAACAACTTCAAGTGTCTTACTCACTTCACTTAACAGAACAATATTATTTCTCTTAATTATATACTCTTATTATTTTATGTCCGTTAAGTTAAACAATGATACCAGCGTAATGTAATATCTGCCTTATTCTATTGACATTAAAGTGTTTATTCTGATTTATATAATGTATATCAGCCCCTACATGTTACTATATACGTGTATATGATTAAAAGAGAAATACTTGGAAAACAACTTGACATTGGAAATAAAATAACAATCGAAAGACTAAATGGGATTGTCTGATTACTTAAAGTAAGTAAGCCCTGAAAGTGTTCACTGTCGCAAGGACAATATATCAATTGTCGTTTGAACAGATGAAATTAAATTTGTCAACTCATAAATTTCCTTGAAATTCTCTTTCTTATGGTATTTAAAATACGATTGAGCAAATGTCTGTCAAGGGTTAAAGGTTTCCCGAAAAAGTTTATCAGCGCAGTTGTTACTTAAAAAAATTAGTTTAACAGCGAAATTATGTCATCATTGCGGAGGAAAAAAATTACTTTAGGGCAGTAATTGTCATTGAATCGAGAAATATGCTTTGAAGGAACAAGATACACAATGCATTTATAGGGAAAATTACGGAATCATAACTTAATACGTAGGCCACAAAAAATCGGCATCACTATGAGTGGTATACGTACTCTGTATACTATAGGTCTTATATCACTAAATAGAAACCCAGACTTTCATTTATAAACATAAACTATTACAATGATTTGACAGAGTATTTCTTGCATATCAGACTGGTGTTTCCGTTAATTTTACCCATGCCGGATATTTCATCTGTCATAGGGGTGCCAGATGAGTCGCGTGCTATACAATGGCATGCTTTGGATGACGTTATTTCGCCGATGTGAATGAAGTTGTAATTTCATACGCTACTGTACGAAAATAGTTATGAATGTAAGGACATAAATTTCCAATCGGATTGGAATATTCGTCCTTTGGGAACCTGCCGATTGGCGAGTCCCCTGGGGACAGATATTAAGATCTGTACAGCAACATATGACAGCTATAATTAATTTCAAGTAACAGTCCAAACTGTTGACAAAAATATCT